AGAAAGAAAGAAAGAAAGAAAGAAAGAAAGAAAGAAAGAAAGAAAGAGACAAAGATTCTAACTGATGCACTGCAACACTTTTTAGTGCTTCAGAACCCTCCCTGAAAACTTACCCATCCGCAGGAAAATCAATTAAACTTAAATAGGAAGAATTTGAGTAAAAATATTGGATACTTTTTACTTTAATATTCAGATTAAGCATGATTTCCACTCGACATTATCATCGAAGAGAAGATCTTCCTTGGTATTTTTGCATGCTTAAAATTTAGCCCAGTCTTTGAAAACCCTTTCCAGCTTCTGGCAAAGCAGAACCTTGCCACTCACTTTGAACTTGCCAGCAAGGAAAGCCTTCTGTGGGTTCATTTTGCCCAAAGCCAGCTCCATAAAGACGGGCTCCGGGATTGTAAAGACAGTGTCTGCTGGGAGCCTGGCAGGTCCCGGATACATGTCCCCAGAACCATTCTTCAGATCAATGGTCCGCTGCAGAATGATCTTCCCATCTTTGGTGATGTCCAGCTGAAAGATGGCATTGACTTTCTTGACCAATTGAGCTCCCACTTTCCTGATGTGAAGTCTAATATCCTCAAACACCGAGAAGCTCTCGAGTTCTGACAGCTCTAGAGGATGTGGCATGGCAGGCTCTGGAACTGAACCCAGAACCTCGAATTGGCCAGGCAGAGGTCCATCCTCTGCTTTGATCTTGGGTTGATGGCCACTTCTCTTCCACATCTTCCTGTGCTAGTCCCCGGACCTTGCCATCTGGTCTGTGAGCAGCTGTGACCAGATTAATACCCACAGGTCAGATTGTGACATCAAAGGTAAGGCCAAGTGGGGACTGAAGCTGGTGTGTGTGCTAGCGTCTTATTGGCTAAACAAATGCTAACGTGTGACATCAGATAAGGGTTCAGACAGGTCATTGTGAGGCAGATCCACACTCACACACCCCCCTCCCAAGCCAATCAGGGATATTGGTCCTGCAAGCCCAAAAGGTCTGCCCCCTGCAATGGGGATAAGGGAAACTGGCCCCAGAAGCTTCTTTAGTGACATGAACTCTGTCTTTCCAATGCAGACATCTCCTCGGTGAAACCCTAAGTGAGACAGAAGTTATTCTTATTCCTCTCAAAGTGGGTAATACTTAAGTCCCATTAAGTGGGTAATACTTAAGTTAAGGTAATACTACAGATCCTGACACTGAATTTGGCTTTATCTGGCTGCTGGTAGAAAGGGAAATGCTTTTAGGCCAGAGTAATCAATTGGAGAAGGAATCAGCCCAGGGGCCTGCATCAGAAACTTTCCAGAAGCACAATGAGACACACACAGAGCGAGTAAATGTCCCTAAGATCAGAAGATGCTGCCAGTCTCCTCTGATAATTGCACATAATAGTATAGCCCTTACGCTGGGCCAAGGTGCAGAGTTCTAAGTACTGTACATACATTAACACATTTAACTCTCATTACAACCCCCTATGATAGGTAACTGTTTTTTGTTTTTTGTTTTTTGTTTTTTGAGACAAGGTCTCGCTCGGTCACCCAGGCTGGATGACAGTGGTGCGATCTCTGCTCACTGCAGCCTCCGCCTCCTGGGCTCATTTGATCCTCCCACATCAGTCTCCCAAGTAGCTGGGAATACAGGCGTGTGCCACCACACTTGGCTAATTTTTGTACTTTTTGTAGAAATGGGGTTTCACCACGTTGCCCAGGTTGGTCTCAAACTCCTGGGCTAAAGTGATCCACCTGCCTCGGCCTCCCAGATAGGTATTCTTTTTATCCCCATTTTACAAATAAGGAAACTGAGAAGAGAAATGAAGTAACTTGCCCAATGTCATACAGTTAGCAAGTAGTGTAGCCAGATTTGAAGAGAGGCAGAATGACTCCAAAGTCCACCTGTTTATTTCTTTACCTTTTATTCTGAAATAATTTCAGCCTTATAAAAAGTTTGCAAAAATAGTACCTGTTTAACCTGCTCCCAGCTTTCCCAAAAACTAACATCTTCTATAGCCACAATACAGTGATCTAATCTGAGAAATTCACATTGGTTCATGACTACTAACTAATCTACAGACCATATGAGGCCATATCCATCTGGTTTCAGGTCTCCCTAGTGCCTTGCAGTCTGGGACAGCTCTTCGGTCTTTGTCTATCGTTACTTTGACACTTGAATACTGGCCAGTTATTCTCCAAAATGTCCCTTCTTTGAAGACTGCCTGATGCTTTCTCCTGGTTAGGTGGAGGCTATGCCTTTGGGACAAGAATACCAGAGAGGTGACCTGTGCTCTTCCCACTGTGCCATAGCAGAGGTTCATGATGTTACGTCCCATTTCTGCCGATGTCATCCTTGATCACTTGGTTAAAGCGGCTCCTTCAGGCTTCTGTACTGCAGAGTTGCTGTTTTTCCCTCTGTGATTAGCAGAGGGAGGTGCCTTGAGACCTTGCAAATGGCCTGTTTTGCATCATCCTCTGGCCCACTTCTGTCGCATCCATCCATGGCCCACCCCTGCAGCAATCAGTGTGATGTAGGCCTAGCAGTCATTTTCTATGCTTCTTACTCCCTTGAGGTTTAATAACTGGAATTCTGCTCTAAGGGAAAACACCCTCTTCTCTCCCGTTTCTTTATTTGTTCAATCATTTATTTATCTCAGCATGAATTTGTGGGTATTTGTTTATTCTGCGGGTCATCATCTATTATTGTCATTGTTTATTTTCTTGCTAAATTGTCTCAGATTTGGCTATAGGGAGCTTCATCAAGTTGGAGCCTGTATCCTTTCCTACGCCAAACTGCTCTGACGTGTAAGCAAAGCTCCATTATATAGAGTTGCTGGAAATTTTGTCCTTTCTGGGAATGATGCAGAAGAATGAAAAAGGCTTCAAAGTACATTTGCAAAGATGGATGAGCTGGTGTTATCAAAGTCGCAGTTAAACAAAGCCGTGTGTCTTCCAAAACCATGTTCTTGCCATGAGGTCACCAGGTATGGACAACATCAGCACAGCGATTTTAAAACAAGGAGGGCAGGAGTTCCCCAGCAAGTTCACTATAAGCAGCCAACAGAGAACTGAGCCCCACCACTGCCCATATCTCATTTTCCTCAAGGACAGCGTTGTCCCCTCTAAATTACTCAGGCAGGTCCCCAATGGGGCTTTCATTCTCCTGCCACAGTGTGTGAGAGGGGAACGCAGTTCCACAGCTCATACATAAGAAATCCAAAACATGCCAGGACTCGAGGGAGCACTTCCCCAATGACATTGTTTAGAATTGTCCTCCAATAGAAATCATAAAAGTAGACACTATGTCTAGTCAGTTTTATTATTTAAATTCTCAACAGGTGCCGCTGCCTTGTTATCTGCACTGTGGCAGGCTCCTTCTCCTACCTTGACTGCCACACCATTGGCATCTTGAAAACACGCCGCCTCTAAGTGGACACAATCTTCCTCTGTCTTGTTGAGATTCTTTCCCCTTTGGTTGCCATTCAGACCCAAGAATCTGGTCCTGGCAGATTTGTAGCTTTTCGTTTCTGAATTCTTCAAATGCTTTAAAGGAATGTGAGAGGCGTAGAGATCTGTTCCCTAAAAAATACAAATAAATTAAAATTTAAAAATAAAAAATTGCAAAGCCATTTTATTAAATACACTGCTTTTAGCTTCAAGTAACAACCACTACCATAAAAATTAATGATGGTTCAATTCAGTGGTCCCAGAGTGGGTTCCCCAGGCCAGTGGCATCAACTCCACCTAGGGATTCTTTATAAATGCACATTCTCAGGCCCCACACCAGATCTGCTGAATCAAAAACTCTGGGGATGGGACCCTGCTGTATTCATCAGGATTCTCCAAAGAAAAAAGAACCAATATGACATAGAGAGAGAGAGAGAGATAAAAGGAGTTATTATAGGAACTGGGTCACAGGGTTTTGGAGGTCAAGAAGTCCCACGTGCAAACGAGGGACACAGCCAGGGGGTGTAATGCATTCCAGGTCCGAAGGCCTGGACTGGAGGACAATGGGGGTTGGTGTAAGTCCTGAAGACCAGGAGCCCAGATGTCCAAAGGCAGGAGAAAATCCACATCTCAGGCCTGGTAGAGAGCGTGAGTTCCACCTTCCCTGACTTTTTATCCTATGAAGACCCTCAGAAGATGGGATGATGCCTCCCACATTGGGGAGGGCCATCTGCCTTACTCAGTTCACCAATTCAAATGCAGTCCCCTCCTTCTAGAAATGCTTCCACGGACACTCTCTGAAATAATGTTTTACCCCTGGTCTGGGGATCCCATGGCCCAGTCAAGTTGACACATAAAGCGAACCATCATGCCAGCAATCAGGGTTATAACAAGCCCTCCAAGGTCTGAAAATTGGGGTTTTCAGTGGCTTGGAGAGGTCAGCCAAGATCTCTGTGCTGTGTCCACTGTTGCATTCTACCATCCTCAATGTGTTGCCTTTGGTCCCCAGCTTGTCACTTCACATCTGCTGGGTTGCCATGGCTCCTTCCATCACATCCTCACAAGACAGCATCCCAAGCCAAAAGGACAAAAAAAGGCCTCTCCTTGGACCTATCGCTTACCAGAAAGAAAAGGTACCAAGGCCTCCACTGGTCTCATTGGCAAGGACTGAATCACATGCCCATCAAGATTCACACCCCTGGGCAGGGCTCCCCATCCCTTGGACAGAATTGGAGTTGGGGTAGCAGGAAAGAAAAGGGTGTTACACAGCGACAAATGCTCACCACAGGTACCCACAGCCTCTTCCCTTGCTCCTCAGAAGGCCACAAGGAGAAACCCCATCATTTTAGAGAGCTTTGGTGTCATTACATTTCAATAATCAAAGGTCATTTCCCCTTTGCCAGCCTCCTCATTGGCAACAAAATGTGCCTGGGGGCTTTCTTTCTGAACGTTTACAGATCCATCTCCCACCTGCCAACCCAGCACCTGGGCAGTTGTATTCACTCACAGGTGTCAGGCTGGCAGATGGGTCTAACAGAATGGGGAATGGGATTAAGAAGTGTCACGCAGCCCCATCCCCTGAATGGGAACAGATCTATGTTACCAAGTTTACCCTTGCCCTGGGGCCTCAGACAAGGTGCCTGCACCTGGTTGTCAGATGCAGTGAGGGGAGAAGGAAAGGACTTTCACCTTTTACTTTATGTATTCTGCTTTTGTTTGTAATGAGCATGCACTCGCTCTGTGGTTTTTTAATTGAATACAATGTTTCCAACATCCTATTCTTAAAAGTTTTAGGCACATTTTGCAAAGTTGAAAGATTTCTACAGTGAACACTCAAATATTCACCAATATCTTATCGTTGCATTATATTGCACTTGTTTGAAGCTCTCCATCTTATTTTTATGTTATTTTTATGTTTCAAAGTAAATTAAAGGTATCAGTAGACCCCAAACACTTGAGCATGCAAAGCAATTACTACAGTTCAATATTTGTTTAGTTTTTAATATAAAATTTACACACAAAGCAATGCACAAATCTTAAGTGTACACTTGCTGAGAGTGGACTAATGCACACACCTGAATATAACACATTTTAGTACTAAGTATCTGAACGCCATGTGGCCCACAGCCCCCAGTTGCCTTGAGCATGGAGCCATCTGCAGTGTGTGGAGAAGCATGAACAAGCAGGATGTGGGGTTTCTTCTTCACTCATCAGGTGGAAGGCTGCTTCCTGGCAGCATGAGGCTGTCACCATGAGTCCCTGGAGGAAGGCCTGAAAGTGTCTCTATCAAAGACCCAAAGACCAGAGGCATAAACCAGGATCTCCACATGGAGAAGACATCATACCTTCTGCGCGTCGACAAAGATGGGAAATCAATTTTTATGAACACCTCTGAAGGCTAAAATCTTTGTTCTGTGGGCCATCTGGTTTCCAGTAGGACCATCACCCACTTCTCTGGCCCCTGCTGAGTCCAGCCACATTTTAACAATGCTGGGGTCTGGCCTGGGTCCCAGAAATACTCACAGGATTGATGGTTCAATTGTGGGTTGGTAAGTACCAATCCTGCCCAACATAATGAGCTGGAGCCTGCATGGGATACAGAGAAGGGCAGATACATGATCCCTGCTCCCAGAAACTCAGAACATGGGCAAGAGAAGATGCATACAAGTTTAAAAATCCAACTATGAGAAGAGATGATAATAACTGCTTAGGGAAGAAGACAGTGAGGTAGCATGTCAGGATCCCCATTCTGCACACTCAACAGCCAGCAGTCTCCTGTCTGAAACTTACATCATTTCCTGGAATCTTTTTTGTCTGCCCCCAGACAGAGAACCTGAGATATGAATTCAAAGTAGTTTATTTGTGAGATAAAGTTGGAGGAATGCAGAAGTGAGATGGAGAAGGGAAACCAGCCAATGGAGGGTGTGTACTCAAGAAGTTACCCTGGGCCACTGGAGTTTAATCTTGCAGGAAAACTCTAGGAAACTCATGTAAGACAAGTTAACCCCACTCCCATGAGGGACAGAGGAGCTGGGACTTATCCACCCACTCCATCAGCCACTGCTCCCAGGACATTAATTCCAGCATGCAGAGATGGGAACAAGGCAGGTGTCAATGGCCAGAGAAAGCCCTGGGGCAAGTGCAGCCAGCTGGGAGCCAGGCTGTAGGCACCACTGTGTTGGGGGCAGGGTATGGGTGGTGCATCAGTAATGCCTGCCATACCCAAGGATCACCAAAATCTGCTTTAGGATGGCATGTCTCTGGCCCCATTACATCAGAAAATAAATGGACTCAAACAGCATATAGCAGGAAGACACAAAAGACTACATACCATTTGCTTCCATTTATATGAAGTTCTAGAAGAAGCAAACTAATCTATGATAGAAGGCAGAAGGCAGATTCATGGTTGCCTGGGACGGAGGGTTGGAGGATTTTCAGGGACTTTCTAGTATAATGGGAATGTCCTGTAGCTTGACTGCAGTGACAGCAGCAACAGGAAACCTGTTCAGAGGCAGTGGTGAGCAATTTTTTTGTATTTCATATGGCTTCAGGGAATGGCATGTATTACTGTGGGTGAGGCTCTTATCGAAGTAGAATTTCACCTCTTACTCTGTTGATGCAAAGACTGTGATAGGTCAAATTACAGGTCTTAATCCATCACACCTGTAGTAGGATTATTCATCCATAACCTTTCCATGGCTTCACTGTAAGTGGAGCAAAATTCCCTACCCTTATGAAGGTGGCTGTGTCCATGGGGTTTGCTTTGGCCAGCGGGATGTTATCGGACATGATGTGAGCAGAGGCTTGAAATGTCCTTGTGCAGTGGGGCTTTCATGCTTGTGCTTCTGCCATGGCCATGACAAGATCATGCCCTAGGGAGCTGCTGGTCCAGGGAGGATGAGACACGTGTGGAGCTGACCTAAATCAGCCAAGCAGGAAATTACCATGTAGACCCATGAGAATAAATTCTGCTCATTTTAATCCTCTGAGTTTTTAAGTGGTTTGTTACTCAGCATTACTGTGGCCCTAACTGACTGTGGTAAGGTCCAAAAAAAGTAATAGCTGGGCTTGCAAACCAGTTCTTATGGGCAAAGTCTTCAGTACTTAGACAAATCTTACTGAAGTTACAGCCTGCAGTCTTTCCACACAGCAGACAAACAGACACATTCAGTGCTAGGGCTTGGCTGAGATGATGACATAACGTTCCCTACCTGAGTCAGGCTCCACACACTCAGTTGCTTTTGTCTACACACTTGCTACTTAAAATGTTTGTGGACCAGCATCAGAGGCATCCCTGAGAGCTTGTTAGAAATATGGAATCTCAGATCCCACCCAGACCTGCTTAATTGGTGTCCACATTTTAACAGGATGCCCAATGACTCCTCTGCTCATTAAAATGTGGGCTATACTGAACTACAACACAAAGATAGAGAGATTAGATAGAGATAGATGATAGATATAGATATAGATAGTTATAGATGATATAGATATAAATATGATCACCCACATACCTGTTGCATTCTCGCTGATTTGAAAATAAAAACTATCTCATAATTTGTCTTTAGGTTAAAGTTTACGACACACACGCACACACACACACACGGGAAAAACGTGATTCAAACTAAGAAGAAACATTTAATTTAAACATTTTCAAGTAAAAATGTTTTTCTTTCTTCACTTGCTTTTTTATTAATAGACTATTCTTTAGAGCAGTTTTAGGTTTATAGAACATTTGAGAAGTACAGAAAGCTCTGAAACACTTCATCTCCCTGCTCCCCTGCTTAGTTTCACCTATTTTTAATATCTTGCCTCAGTGTGGTACATTTGTTACAACTGATGAGCCCATATTGATACATTATTTTTAATTAAGGTCCACAGTTCACATTAAGGTTCACATTTAGTGAGGTGCATTACATGGGCTTTGCCAAATGCATAATGTCATGTATCCACCACTCCAGTATCATACAGAGCAGCTTTACTGCCCTAAAAATCCTCCGAGTTCTGTCTATTCATCCTTCCCTCCTCCCTAACCTCTGGCAATCACTTATCTTTTCACCGTCTAAAGATTTGTCCTTTCCAGAATGTCATATAGTGGAATCATACAGGATGTGGCCTTTTCAGATTGGCTTCTTTCACTTAGCAATATGCATTTAAGGTTTCTCCATGTCTTCTCATATCTTGATAGCTCATTTCTTTTCATTGCTAAATAATATCATATGGCTACTACACAGTTATCTATTCACCTACCGAAGAACATCTTGGTAACTCCCAGCTTTTGTCAGCTATTTAAAAAGCTGCTATAAACACTTGTGTGCAAAATTTTGTGTGGACAGAAGCTTATGCTATTTTATAGGTTTTTTTAAATATTGAAGTACGTAACAACTGAGCCAATTATTGATATTATTATTGTTGTTGTTTACATTTACTGAGCAATAACAATCCTCCAAGCACTGTGGTAAAGTCCTTTAAATCTCATAACATTCTGGGGTAGTTACTAACGTTGTTCTCACCTTAGAAATGAGGAAATTGAGAGGCTGGGTAGCTTGTCCAAAGACACATAGCTAATTACTTTGAACCCAAGAGTTTATGGGTTTTGACATTTCAAAACCATAATTTTTGTTTCACCTGATCCTTCTGGAATAATGTTTGTTGTTGAATTGTTATTACGTATTAAGAAATAAAAGGTATCTTTAAAGAAAGAGGTTTCCACCCCCTTTGTGAGTGTCTCTCTTACAGGTAGGTATTTCTACAATTAGAGGAATCCAATGCAATTGGCCAAGAAGCACATGCAAAGGTGCTCAACATCATTAGTCATTAGGGAAATTTGAATTAAAACTATAATAAAACTCCTCTTCACACCCACTAAAATGGCTAAAATTGGAAAAACTGGCAATGTCAGATGTTGGTGAGGAGATGGAGCAACTGGAACTCTGTGCTCTTTTAATAAGAGTGCAAAATGATGCTGCTTCTGAAGCTGACGGCTTGGTATTGTTACATAATTAAATACAGACTTACCATACAATCTGTTGTTTCCACTCTTAGTTATTTATGCAAGAGAAATATGTATGTCTACAGAAAGACATACAATGAGTGTTCTCAGCAGCATTACTCATTAAAGCAAAACACTGGGGATGATCCAAACCTTTTTTTTTTTTTTTTTTTGAGACAGGGTCTCACTCTGTCACTCAGGCTGGAGTGCAGTGGCACAATCTGGGCTCACTGCAACCTCTGCCTCCTGGGTTCAAGCAATTCTCCTGCCTCAGATTCCCCGGTTGCTGGGATTACAGATGCGTGCCACCACACCCGGCTAGTTTTTTGTATTTTTAGTAAAGACAGGGTTTTACCATGTTGGCCAGGCTGGTCTCGAACTCCTGACCTCAGGCGATCCACCCACCTCGGCCTCCCAAAGTGCTGGGATTACAGGTGTGAGCTGCCACACCCAGCCCCAAATCTTCGGTTCTTCGTCTTCTGTTCTTCAACAGGAAATTGTATCAACAAATTGTGGTGTAATCATGGAATAGAATACTACATGGCAATAAACAGGAATGAGCAATTGATTCACTCAACGACAGGGGTGAATCTCAGATATATTATGCTGAGTGAGAAAAGCCAGATTCTCCAACACACTATATGATTCCATTTAAGACAGTCTAAAAATGGCAAATTACAGAAACAAAAATAAGTGACCAGTAGTTTGCAGGCATTGGGGGTAGACAGTGATTTTATTTGCAAAGGGGCACAGAGTTTTGTTGGTTTTTTTTTAAGTGGAGGTGGTGATGGGACTTTACTCTATCCTGATTGTGGCAGTGGTTACACAACAGTTTTACATTTGT